CAATCACGTCCTGGTTGAAGTTCGTTCGCTACGCTCACTCACCTTTGGGTTGGAGCTCGTTCGCTACGCTCACTCACCTTTAGGTTGGAGCTCGTTCGCTGCGCTCACTTGCCTTTAGGTTAGCTCGTTCGCTACGCTCACTCGCCTCCAGGTTGAAGTTCGTTCGCTACGCTCACTCACCTTTTGGTTGCAAATTAGCTGTTGTCATAAATGTAAAAGAAATAATAGTGCTGCACCCTGTTGGTAATCCTTGTAACTTTAATGCCATTGAACATCATAGAACAGAACCAACTTGTTTAATTGAAACAGCTGTTAAGATTCATTAATTCCATTTCTCATAAGGTTAACATGGGAAACTCCAGAGCCACTGGGGCGGAGCCCTTTTAAGAATTTCGAAACGGGAAATAGTTTACTTCCTATTCGCATACCTACAGAATTTACACACCAAATTTCATAACGATCGGTGAAGTCGTTCCGGAGGAGTTTGCAGACAAACACTGTGACACGAGAATTTTATATATTAGATAAAAACATTGGAGGTTGGGAATATGTTATTTACAAGTTGTTTTTATATATTTGTTCACTATTTTTGTTAGCTATGAAAGTACACTAAAACCACACATGAACAGATAGTTACATTTCTTGCTTTAGTATTATTTTACCACACACCCATAGTGTTCATTTACTAATGACTAATCATGAGTGACCAATAAAGTTTATGCTGTTTATAGCTCTGCATGTTTATCAACGCTATGACTTGCTGTGTTTAATATCAATCCAAAGTCTTTCTTGGCCAAACACTAATGATGAGAGAAGTTTCTTCCATCTCATAGGATTAACTTTCAACAGCACTAGTTTATGATGTGTTCAAAATGCCAGAGAGTGATAACATTACCGAAATATTGTTTAATCATGCAGTTCATTGGGATAGAATAAATAGTAAAGACAAATTTATTGTGCTCTTGAAGAATAACAGGATTCATCCATCTAGCCTCCAAGACTAACAACAAGTACCAAGCATGGAGGACCTCTTCTAGGGAACGAACAAACTAGTGGTCCAAGTTCAGAGAGTTTATGGCTTAACAATATTGTGGACTAGTCGCTGTTGCCATCTGATTGCCTCTGTGTTGTAAAAAAACAATTCAGAAATCCAAAAAAGAACGTTTGGTGAAAGTTATTTCATTTGGTCTGAATGTTATTGATAGAAAGAGAATGGAGTTTTGTGGAATCATATTTAGACAAATGTTCCTCCCAAAAATACACAATCGACTTAAAATACAAACATAAACATGTAAAACCCCTTGAGAACAGGGCATAGCAAAATTTCTAATGGCAGTAACTTCGAACAGATAAAACAAGACTTAGCCAAGACTAGGGAATTCAGTAAAATCTGTAATGTCAATAATGGTAAATTTACAGACTACTACGGTTAATAACATAAGGATAAACATGCACAATCCCAGTCAATAACTGGAAGTTGATGGGTTGCCAGTACCCAATGTCCTAGGAAGCCTTGATTACTGCAGTTATTACTGCAAGATATCTCACATGATAAAATTACATTTAAGGCCAAACCACCCGGTAAAAAATAGCCCCAGTTGTAGAATGTGGATAAATGGATGGGATGGATCCACGCCATCACATTACTGCACGACTATTTGACAAAATATATAAAATAAACACAGGACCTGTGTACAGTCCGGGAGACAACATACTGCTACTACCAGTAGATAGTGCAACAACAACAATACGACAACAAGTGTAACAATCCGCTACTGCACGAATATCTCACATACTCATACTGTATGATACTCAGGACCTGTGCACAGTCCTGGTGACAAAATAATGCTACTACCAGTAGATAGTGCACCGTCCGTGCTACCAGTGCACCGTCAGTGCTACAAGTAGACAGTAAACATCTAGCAGATGTAAGAGGTGGATAGGTGGAACTCCGCTACTGCACGAATATCTAACATACTCATGCTGTATGATACTCAGGACCTGTACACAGTCCTGGTGACAAAATACTGCTACTACCAGTAGATAGTGCACCGTCAGTGCTACAAGTAGACAGTAAACATCTAGCAGATGTACGAGGTGGATAGGTGGAACTCCGCTACTGCACGAATATCTCACATACTCATACTGTATGATACTCAGGACCTGTGCACAGTCCTGGTGACAAAATAATGCTACTACCAGTAGATAGTGCACCGTCCGTGCTACCAGTGCACCGTCAGTGCTACAAGTAGACAGTAAACATCTAGCAGATGTAAGAGGTGGATAGGTGGAACTCCGCTACTGCACGAATATCTAACATACTCATACTGTATGATACTCAGGACCTGTACACAGTCCTGGTGACAAAATACTGCTACTACCAGTAGATAGTGTACCGTCAGTGCTACAAGTAGACAGTAAACATCTAGCAGATGTACGAGGTGGATAGGTGGAACTCCGCTACTGCACGAATATCTCACATACTCATACTGTATGATACTCAGGACCTGTGCACAGTCCTGGTGACAAAATACTGCTACTACCAGTAGATAGTGCACCGTCCGTGCTACCAGTAGACAGTAGACAGTAGACATCCAGCAGATGAACGAGGTGGATAGGTGGAACCCCGCTACTGCACGAATATCTCACACTCACGACTGCTTTATAGCATTCCATTAAACGTAATTCCAACGAGCTAAACAAACATTTCTCACGACACATAAACCTCGCCGGATTAGGCTTCCCGCTGGCCGCTCTTTATTAGTATTGTGAACCGATTATGCGGACAAATTTCCAACGGCGGGTAACGCTGACTTACGCCCCTACCTGCAGATATGTCTGCCTACAAACTATTACCCTCCTGGGTTTGTGTTGCGAATATTAGAACCAGTTAGAGCGCGATTTAAGCGCCTCCCAGCGCGTTTGTCGCTGTATGATTTCCAAGCGCGGTTGTTTTATTGTGAGGTGTCGCGGCTTCCAATATCGGGTTTACTTGCTTCTTTCACACCTTGGGAATTAATTTTCTACTGTGACATCCTTCAAGTGTTTTTATAAGAGAGTGTAATGAAGTAGCTGGGTTTCTTAGTGGTCACTGTTTGTTGGTTTAGTATTCTGAAAGGTATCGATCATGAGATGAATATGAGAGGTGAAAAAAATACTGCATTAAAACATAGCTTAAAACTAAAACTACGTGTTTCTTAATAAGTTATCTAATAAACTTCAGAAGAGGTAGTTGTTCTCCAATACCGAGACATTTCTCATTGCCTTCGAGACCTTTTTGGCATTCTAGAAACCTACAGCTTAAAGTGAGCTTTGATGAACCACCGGATCTGAGCATTATCATACAGCTAAAATACAAAGGTAATTAGCGTAATTTTAACCCCTCCAAATTACCAACTTCTATACGAAATTGCATTAACATGAATAATTTTGCTTCGAAGTGCTAAATACACAACTTTGTAAACAAAACAGCTACTTTGACTCTCGCCGTTTAGTATTAACAAGATACCGAATTTTGGGAGATATTATTTGTAAAAAGAAATGTTTATCATTTGCAATTATTCAATATAAATTATGTAGAGCTGTAGACCGTAGTTCTCCCGGGAGATTGTGTACAGGATATTGTGTACTGCTATTTTAATTATACAAAAACCGAGCCTGGTGACTGAAGCAGAGACCGTGATGTAGGGAGTGTAACAATGTGTAGAAACCTCACAACACGACACGCGGTCGGGACCTTCTACTGTGCTACACACTGGGTCTGCAGGTGGGTGTAATTGTAATATCATTAAAACCATTGCATTTCTAGCTTTTGAATATAATTAATTACACTTTTGAAAATTATACATCCCGTTCTGTTGTTTAAATTGTTAACAGATATAAAACTACTTGGTTCGATTGAGTCGCGGATTGATTGTTCTGCTGTAAAATTTCTCAGTTGTCTGTCTCATAAATGGATTTGTATGTTGCTAAACTCAAGGGTCAGCTTTTTATATGCCCCGTTTGACCCTATCAATTAATTATCATTCAAATCTACAATAGTAGAACTTTAATTAACACTACTAATGAGTACACTCTAATGAGAAGTTGAGAGGTTATTTTCTCTTCAATGATGTAGTAAACTAATACGTCACGTGGTTTTTACGTCGTCTACTAATACGATACAGGGTATGACGGTACGATGAGTTTTTTTTATATCGTTGGTTCTCTTTGACAGGAAGGATGAATGAACGCGGTCTTGACTTCTTGTAGATGGTATTTCTATCCAAAGTCAATCGTATAACAAATTCATATATAAATCCATGAATAATTACTTAACTAGTAAATATGTGTTCGAAACCAGAAACACATTCATAAACATTAGATTAATCATTACGCATTTGATTATATTACACATTCTTTGTCATGTAATCCTAGAACAATTCCATACACTGCTACATATTTTAATAAAAATGTTATGGAGACGTGTAAAAACCCTTGAAACATAAGGTTAATCGGCGGAAACCCCCCTGGAGAGTGGGGGTCCTTGCCTATTTTGAGGCTTATGAATTGTCTTAATTTTGTTTACCGCAAACAACATTGAAAAATATACATGAAGTATAAGATTAGCTAAAAACTGGGTTATGTTTTTTCACAAACCACAAAATATTTCATTTAAACGGGTGAGAAATTAAACTTATTAAACGTATTGAAGTGCAATAAAATCAGCATTGACATGTAGATTTTAAATTTACAATTCCTGACCGAAAAGGCGAACCATATTTCGGTTAGCGTAAATCTTCACTGTGTTATTAACTTAGAACCACTGATAGAAATGATAACTACTGTATATAGATACATTTAAATGGTTATGTGTTTTCCATTACCCTCGATAATGAAAAAGCTCACCGCGCCGCCAACTAATCCTTTTGTAGGGACGTGTTATGGATATAATAAAGTATATACTCGGAATCTAGACCCGGAAAATTAGTATCCTGTCTCCACTAGTCAACAGTGCCACAATGCTCATCATGATCCTGAACCTCGTGTTGGTGATGGTCACCCTCGTCTTCGCAGAACTTCCTCCCAGTCTTCTGGACGGCGACCTGCGAGACCTCAGTCTTCTGCCCCTGGACAAGCTACTGGCCGTCAAGAGAGCGCTCACATACAGTAAGTCTTGCCTTTAACTATGGATAGAATCGTGGATTAATTGATCATAAAATATTGCATAATAGATAGCCTCTATATCGTCATGATTTCACAATAGGTAATTTTTAAGTTTGATTTCGCAATGATTTAGTCAAACGATTCTGTGCCTAGCAGTAATTACATCTATTCGCACTCATCTTACGTCATATTGTAGAAAAACGTCAAAGAGTTCAGTCCTCGAAGTGATAGTTGTCAGTACACGATATAGGCTTGCAAAACATATCGAACACGCGGAGATAAAACAAAATACAATTACTACGAATAATATCCAATAGCTATGTTAAGTACAATGTATAATTGGCGCGTGATGCGATACAGACAGAAAGCGAGTCAAAACTACTTAATACCTTAATAAAGAAATAAAGTACTGTGCCTGGATAAGGGTGCTAATGCGAACAGCACTAAGGAGGGGTGGAAGGGGTTCAGGGTAATTTTTATAATCTTTTACCAATGCTACAGCCAAACAAACGATTCTGTGTTACTGGACCTAACACACAATAATATAATGAATTGTTTTTGTCTTTCCTGCGAATACGCTTTTTGACTGAGGCACAAGTAAAATAATCACTACATCTGCTTATTTTGTCGATCCAGAGGCTATTATATTATTATATTTTCAATTCAATGTTTTTATTCATTCAAACAAATTACAGACTACTTGTTGCGGAAGATATGCATTGCATGAATTTCACACCTGGTTTGCTTGAGCTACATAACTGGTAAATGGATAGAGATACATGTAAAGATAAAAAACACACATAAACGTAGCTGGGACATGGTTGAATCCTAATTTGACCCTTTCTTTAATTCAGATGCAAGTTCCCCTCCGCAGCTATTCTATGCAGTGTGCAGTTAAATTCCAACAAATACGAAACGCTGATTAAATGTAATCACCAAAACTTGTCTAAGCCCAAACAAATGACCAATAAAGTGTGTCAATACGCTAAGTAGCCATAAATCTGGAATATTGAAGCAGGCAAACAGTTATACAAGTCATAATACAGGAACCCATTAGTGGGGTTATAAACACCGTAGTAAATAACGAAACCCATTGGTAATAAATAAACAATGGCATAAAACTCAGATGGGAAGTCATGATTTAGGCGTAAATCCTACTATGACTGGGACCTATCGACTATGGTTGCAGAATATTAAGAAGATTCAGATATTCAGTGAAGATTGCCTATCTGTAGACTATTTCACCGATCTCTTTTGACCCCTTTTCTTTAGCAGTCAAGTAAAATTTCACTACATCGTGGCGTGGCATTTACCTTAAAACAGTATTTTTTATAGAACATGCACTTCTAAACCGTTAAATCAAAATAGCCTTTAGCTGATCCATAAAATTTATAATCTAAGACCTATAAAATTTATATTTGATGGTAAATCTATAAGGGTGGGTTAAATAGTAATATGTTATATTACAATATCAATATGGTAAGCCAACATTTGTAGAAAATGTGGTCAGAATCAATTTTGAATTGATGTTTGGGAATAGTCCGAAAAATTAAAATCAAAAGATTTTAGAGTGATGTGAGTATCAAAAGAGGATCTCCTAAAGCCACGGACGACATGACATTCTTCTGGACCAAAGCTATTAGAGAATTAAACAGTCTATGTGAATGATTTTTTCTTAAATTTAATATTTTAAGATATATTTACACTAAATGGCGAAGATGTGTAAAAAATTATTGTCTAAAGTATGAGAAGAAAAAGCGTTACTGGCGTTACTGGTATGATTAGTGTTTATTTTAGCTGAATAAATCCATTACAACTAGATTAGTCATGAGCAACTGGGTACTTTTTCGTTTCATAGAAAGTTACAGGATTTTCTCAATTTTCGCAGTTTTTATATCCAGTGCCATATTTTTAGGAACCTTAAGATTTTAAAATACGTCGATATGTGAAACCAGCTCAGACACACAGGTAGAAAAATACTTTCCTACTGTTATTGTGAATATTAAATTATGTGAAAAAGTTTTTAGATTGAATAACCATCAACAAAGTTCAACCTTCTACCATAGACTAACCAACACAAGGAGTATGTTAGAGTACCAACTATGGGAGTATGTTTTATCTATGCTTCTACCACTATTCTTACGTTTTACAAACACCTTTTCGTGATTAGAAGACATAGACTCCGCGGGAACCGTAGCCAACACTTCCTCAACTCCAAAAAGCCAAGCTCAAGCCCTGAGAGGTGACCCTGGCAGTAGAGGGACTCCGCCACCTCGGCGAGGAGGACCTCCAATCTGGGTGGAGGAAGTGGACGTCTACCATAAAGGTGGCGGTCACGGCGGTGGCGGAGGAAAAGGGAAAGGTGCTCTACTACAAGGGATATTCCAGGTAAACATTGCATTTTAAATTGAAGAATCGAATAGTTATTTTGCTAGGTAGGTAGTGGAGTGTTTCATAGTTCTGTTTATTGTATTCGGGTGCCGCAGGTAACGCTTGATAAAAGGTTAGTTTTTCTAACAATTTGTTGTTGAACCCAATATGAATTGAAATACTTGGGCTTGAGACTCGAGACGAGTATAGGAGAGAACCTTAACCCATCGCTAAGCAGATACTCGTTACCTTTTTCTAGGTACATTAAATATTGAAAAGAAAGGTTTTCAAAAGTTTCAACCCGAAATGAAATAATGCATACTATGCAATGTTCTTTGTGGTTTCGCGATTTGAGCCTTTAATTAGTTGTTAATGAAAAAATAGTTTAAACCTACCTCCAATCCTAAGCTTGATTGTACCTTTTTCTCATACTAAAAGATAATTTTTATACAAACACTGATAACAGAAGCCAATGCTTAATGTTAGTTGTTCTGTAAGGCACTTTTGTGCTAAGAAACAATCTCATATACGTAACAAATGCCCCAATGTTTATATCTTTATACTTTCAGGGCACAGTGACAGTCCTAGCCTTCCTCGCTTTTGGTGGCTACCTCATATGTCTGATACTGAACGCCCTGAAACAGAAGACAGCCGCTCTGGAGATGACACTGCTGACAACGGTGGAACCGGCGACACGGCGGCGGCGGACCCTAGAGCTACGTGAAGCCTCTGGAGATCGCATGTTTACGGTCCTTCAGACCTTGTCTGAGGCATACGTCAAGTACAACCAGAGGTGTCTGCATGACTGAGGATGTTGAACTGTGATGAACGATCTACCTTATATGTGAACAGAAATACGTACACTGCCAGATTTAATAAATGTAAATTGAACACTGTATTTGATAACATAGAAATTTACCATTCCTTAAGATAGTTTAGAATTAAGGGTTTCAACCCGAAATGAAATAATGCATACTATGCAATGTTCTTTGTGGTTTCGCGATTTCAGCCTTTAATTAGTTGTTCATGAAAAAATAGTCTTTGTGGTTTTTACTTTATTGCAGCTTTTAAGACCTCTTTAGGATGTTCGGGGACCCATATTAAAACGTTTGGGAGATTTATACAGTATAGCATTGTTTATACAAACAAATAGCCTGTTCTCCTCAGACCTCCATCTTTCTTCGGGTGTTGTGTTTCTTTGATGGCCACAATGATGGCATTTTCTTAAAATGCAAAATTGACAATTGTGACGGGGCAGTTCTTCACTGCTTTCGACGTAACCGTATCTTTCAAAACCTTTCTGGTGTAAAGAATTGGGGTTGTGTCAGCAACTACCATTTCAAACTGTTTTTTAGCTTCATTTAAAACTGTCTTTTAGCTAATTGTCATTAAATTCATGACCAATTTGATGAGATGCATCTTGGGATAACTAACCTGTAAGGGTAGGCTTTGTTAAACCGATTTCGCATCAATTTGGGTGAATGCAACTCTGGAAGTTAAGGTAGGAAAGGGGCCCTGCTCAGCCATGTGACTTCTGGGCCAAAACCTTTGACAATGAGTAATCCGTACCTTATAGTGTTGGATTATCCTTTACATGGACTGCTAAATTAGTTAGGCCTACTCGACTTAACGTCTAGATGAAGCAGAGTCAACTTGAGTAAAAGATCTATTGGTTTTAAAAACAGGTCCGACATTTCTTAACTATTTGGTCATACATATGTTTTATAGGATTTTGAAAAAAATAACACTTGTAGCCACAGGTATTTTGAAATTTACATGGTAACCGGTACAATATGTTCAATATCATTTATCAAAATGCATAACTGTATGTGCTCTTGTAAGAATGCAAAATTGGTGCAATTGGGATTAATGCCAACTCATAAATAGGCTTTCAAATTCATATTATTCTAAAATTCCTTTGTCATTCTCTTTTTGCTGTAGTCAATAGCAAGCAAATAAGTTTGTACATAGTCTAATGAATAAATCATCAGATTTTTTGGCGTTGCACACGCATTCTCACTGGTTCAGCATGAAACTCATCTCATCCACTGATAAAGCTTCTTCAAAGCAAGGCAAAATACGTCTGGCAATGATTCATTTGATTTTGTATCCAGCCACGAACACTTATGCATACAGATCTATGTTAAATGCCTAGTTGTTAAACTACAGTGTGTTGTCCACAATGTCTACGGGAATTTCCACTCGGTATGATCACAATCATAGGCTTGCATCGCTAAATATCTTCTTTTCCAAATAATAGATTTTCAATTTTTGTTTGAAATGCATGCATGTTATGCTCAACAACATTAATATCCTGTGTGCCGATTACCACGGCCTTATGATACTTCCTCACATTTGCTAACTAACCACTCGCTATCGAGGGAGGACGTTTAGGTGATCAATTAGAGCGTTGTAGAGTGTAGAGTGTTCTCAGAGCGAAGACAATGTGCGACTAACGGTGAGGACGGTGGAGCAGCTGGAGCATGGCAGACTCCTTGTAGACATCATGGGGACCACAGGTGAGTACAATAACATAGCAAGCTTTTACTGCTCCTTAGGGACAAACCCCCTTGTAAACGTGCCTGAAGGTATAAAATATACATCGTACCTAAGGATCCAAATAGTCCTATTTTATGTCTAAATAAAAGGAGTCTCGAATGGGTTACTCTTAACCCTTAAAGAGTAAGGTTATGATTATTTGATGAATTGATAACCTGGTGCTTCGTAAAAGACTCTGCATTTATAATTGAACTGATTTTTAAAAGTAAAAATATAACTGAGCAAAATATATGTTTGTTGAGTTAAGTAGCAACACATGTTTACGCCTCCATGCTTTTATGAAGACTCAAAAATTCTGTCAACCTGATTTAAAAGTTAATATTTTTAGTAAAATAATTAACGTATTCTTAGTTAGCTATTTCTTAAGTATTGTGAAAAGTAGTCCTCAATTTAAAAAGGTCTGAATTTAATATGGGTTTAAACTGCTCAAAGAGCCTCGTCCGTAGACAGACATAACACCGAGAAAATAGCATTATCAGCTAGTACTATGGTTTTGTAGGAACCATCAACAATTATCATTGCAAACTGTATATATGAACTAAAAACTAAACTTAAAAACACAGAACGTCACAGAAACTTTCAATTAAACTATTATTGGGCTCTAGGTCATCTAGGTCACGTGATTATTGTACTGCTAGTGACACCAGCTTTGGCGGCCCAGGATGGCGCAGAGCCTCGCTTCTTCACCAAGGAAGGTAAGTCGAGCCATCAACACATTGTCATAGTCATAGTCAAACGATTGACTTTTGGTTACTGCAAGTAGATTATACATCTGTTGTAAAATATGAAGATCTTTTTCATGTATTTCCATCAATTAAAATATTTCTCTTTTATTTTATGGTAAATTTTACTATAGTCATTGAACTCTGCTTACAGTAACAGAGGACAAGCATTAGTTAGGATGCAGATTGTTCACGTAAACGAAAACGTCATATTGCATTTACTGTAAGAGGTTTCACCCCTAAGTGGCAATCCTCAGTGGCTAGGATGAGTAGTAGTACTGTGTCACTACAAATTAAAGGTGAAATATCTATAAGTGAATATGATCCTACACCTGGGTTAACAAGAACAACCCTTTGGTTAACACACACCCAGACACATGACATGTTATGTTGGGATGATATTTTACTGTGTTTTAGAGCTACAACCAAGGTTCTGTGAAGGATTCTTTGGGTTTTCGGTAGCATCTGCAGCTGCGTGGTGAAATAAAATTTCTGTAAAAGGTCTCGCTCTTATTGTGAACTTGCATCAATAATTTTCTATTATGTGTATTTCATAGTAAGGCTGAACCTGCTGGTAGATTTAATCTGACGACGCGATTGACACATAAAAAAGTCATTATTTGGTTAGTTTACGATATGCCACTGTGCGTTGTCCTATTTACTGTCAAACGTTTCGCTTTTGTTGTGACGTTGCATCCACAATAGCTAGTATGAGTACTGAGGATTGTACTCCGCATCAGTAAAAGAAAAAAAAACACGAAAGGTCTGGCAGTGAGTTTTATCAACCACAGTTAACGTAGACAATTTGACTGGAATATTAATTTCACTACGTTAAACTTCCGAGCTTTTAAGCTTCTGTAAAAGATCCAGGAGTGGTGGGAGTCTTTTACCCCATTGTCTGTGACAGCATGTAGACAATGATTTAGGCTTTTGCAATTAACGATAAACTTTTCGATATAATCACCATTGGTAGATCGAATTTGCTGAAAACCCTTTCGTTCTTACTATGAAGTAGTATTCACAACGGCTAGGCTAAGTACTGAGGACTACTTCTAAGTAGCAGTGTGTGACCAAGCGGGAATTCTGAAGAAAGGTTACGTACGAAACGATTCACTAGGTTAACCAATGTCCAATATGCTGTGTTGTAGAACTACTGTCCGAGTTTCGGGAGGGATGGGAAGCGGCGGGACGTCTGGTAGGGTTCGACACCTCCCAGGGTCTAGGCGCCCTGGTTAGCTCTTCCTGGGCACCCGCGGCCACTGAGAAGCACGATGTCCCTCTAGACGCTGCAGCAGCACATCCGTCAATCTTCCACGGATTCTTTCGCCTCCTAGGTTTTGACTCAACCCGCCTAAATGCAATTGCAGTCAACGCCGTCGTTTTCATCGCTAAAATGGTAACCTCAATTGAAGCTTACAGGCATTCCCAAATTTGGTATACTGTATTTTAAATTTTCTCAAGCTAAGTTTTAGAATGAGATATTAGTAGTAATTTAATGAGCGAGCTAGTTTAGTGTGATAATTCATGTATTTTCAATCCCTGAAGTCCGGTGTTAAAATTCCTCCAATTACCCATGACTTTAATCTGTGATAATACCGCAGCCCTCTGGACCTAGCCTGAACCAATGTGTTTAATGATGTAAAAATATTAGTAAAGATTTCAAGCAAACACCTTCATAGTGTTGAGAGTTCAAGAATACAAAGAAATTTACAGTGAGCCTAAGTAATAAATTCCTGATGGTTAAGCTACAGTGTTTAAAGCAGGGATGGATAAATTGTAGATTTAGTTATTAATGGATACGCAACTAAAACGTATTTGATACCTTAATAGATAAAAGTAGTGTGAGATGGTGTAAGCAACCCCGGATGTTCCAGATAGGATCTTCACTGATCAGGAACTGGACGAGCGGTGCTGGAGGTGGAAATGTTGGGGGCAGAGCCCTAGGGGACGAGGATGTAGAGGAGTCGTTGTCCTGGGTCATAGACAGTGTGAAAGACAAGGTACAGTATGGAAAGTGTGGCCTGCACAAACCTTGTGCTAGTGAATTTTTTTCTGTTTAGTGATAATGGTAGTTACTTACTACTGTTTAAAAAATTTCTACTGTCCGGTTCTATTTCCTCTTTAATTTTTCTACACCAGACACTACTACTCTGAGTACTATGATGTTTGATAGAAGTTTTACATCTTATAGTATACAATAAATTCCCTCATTAGTTTGGCATAATAAAGGACAAGAGTATAAGAAGCAAATTTGTTTTTTGCAGCACCATACCAAGTAATTTTAAATATATATCTTATGAAAGTAAAACGGCTTGATTTTTTGTAAAAGCTTCTGTCTTAAGCTAGGATCAAGAAGATTTTTGGATATCAATGGTTTATTTTATTCGTTCACGTACTATTAAGCGTATTCATTTAAACCAATTAATTAGTTTGCCTGGAATGTAGGTATGCATAACGTAGAGTCAAAAACCTATATAAACCAAGCATGTAGGCAAGCAAAAATATGTTATCCCAAATGTAATGAGGACGAGAATTAGCTATGTTTGTTTAAGCGTGATTGTGTGCGCCGTTCCTCCAACAAAGCAGAGATAGATGCTTTCTTGCAACGATGTTGCATCTGTTTCCTGCAGGAGCAGATTACCTGTGCACAATGTCGTACAAAGTTCTTTCTACACTAACGTTGGAAAATAATTTATTACTAGACTGTGGTGAATAATGATTACTTTTAACACCTAATTTACAATTCTTCTGCCAACATATCCTCGTTTCTCTCCTAAAATGTTTGTAAATATTTTCGTTTTTTTTTTCAACACAACTACCTACTCAACAATTTCTCCTTTAGTATAGTAGTCCAGTGCAATTAGACAAAAAATGACCTTGACCCGGACAAAATTGATAACAGGCTGAAAATTGGTGGAAACGTTCAGAACAATGTCCTGAGTGGCCCACACAAAGTCCCGAGAAATCCCAGTTGGGGAACGGCCGCCATCTTGAAAAAACTGCCGCCATCTTGGAAATTTAGATTTGTTGCTGTATCTTTTGAAGTAATAGTCCGAAAGGCATTATTTATGTCTCAAATTAAGCGTTTTCAACTCATGTATGAGGGTAGTATATAATTAAAGAGTTTAATACGTTTTAAGCATAAAAATTATTTATATTAACCTAAAAATATATCTATAAAAATGATACAAATTTACAAAATATTTACAAAATGAAGCTTTTTTTCTGTTGTTCTTAATTGACTTGTTAAAGCCATTAACCCTTTTGAAATTTCTTGCAATTCACTATGGAATTGGTTAAATAAGGGATGAATAAAAAGTCAAGACCCCCCCCCCTCCTCTAATATTTTTCTAAGTAAATATACAGAAATATCCTTTTGGTGGTGTTGCAATCTTAGTAGGAAGTTTCATTTGATGATTTTGAGTGTCCCCCAAAAAGAGGGAATTTTAAAGGCAACTCAAATATTTTAAAGTAAATCCTATTCAAGTGACACATTATCTTGAAGTGTTTAAAAAAACTTAACTCTTTCAATGCGTCCGTCATGTTTACTCTTGAAAATTCCACTTATCTCAATGATAAGGAATCAGTCGCCGGCGACTGACCCGCACGCAATGTGTTAAAGAATGGTGAAAACCAGTGTTCGCTATATCTTCTCTATCCAAAATGGTAGCCCATCAAAAGTTTAATGACGATATTGTTACATTAATTTTCTTGTGTAGTAAAAAGTAACTCCCCCCCCCTCTAATTTGTTCCTAAGTAAATATTACAGAGTAATCCTTTTGGTGGTGATGCAACCTTAGCAGGAAGTTTCATTTTATGATTTTAAAATCTTTGAGTATTCTCCTCTGTCCAAAATGGTAGCCAATATTACTATTACGAACCAATATTACCATTGATTTTCCATAACGTTTGACAGGCTACCCTTTTTGATAAAGATGAAATAGCAAACTCTGGTTTTCACCATTCATAAAGTTTTTGTAAACACATTAAAATGAAATGTCACTTGAAGGGGGTTTACGTTTAAAATTTTTGAGTTGCCCCCAAAATCCCCCCTTTTTGGGGAACATTTTAAAATTTCAAAATCATAAAATGAAACTCCCTGCTAAGATTGTACGACCGCCAAAAAGGACATCTCTGTATATTCACTTAGAAAATATTATAGAAGGGGGGTATTGACTTTTTATTCACTTAAATGCTGTAATTTGTTATTTATTTATTTATTTACTAGCTGTTTGCCCGTTCTACGTACGGGAATCTTGTAGTAAGTTGAAACCTTATATTCAGAACAGGAGTTGGTTAAATCTATGGCAGGAGCAGAGCAACATCGGTAACAGGAAATATAATCTTGACTAGGAAAGCAACAATTTAATAATGAAGTAAAAAATAAATTTTGAAAAAGCAATTAATAATTTTGTTTGTTCCGATATGAAAAATAGAATCATTTAGATATAGTTGCTATAATTGATTACCATTATATTTTAATATTGCATATAAACTATAATGTAACTACTCGCTGTTATACTCCGTTCAAACAGCCGTGGCACCTGACGGATTAGGAGGCCCCAAGGGTTTCCATGGGGTCTCCTAATCCGTCAGGTGCCACGGCTGTTTGAACGGAGTATAAATAATATTGTCGGTGATGTAATCTTCGTTGTAACTAGCGCGGTTGGCACATCCGTGTCCAGTGCAGTAGCCATGCATCGTGGTACAATTAAGACCATAAGGGTCGTTGTACTGTATCCATGAATCAATTTCAACGTGGACTTGGTTTGTCACTCAGTTGGTGGTGATGAGCCATAGGGTGTCAGAAAGACAAGCATCTACAACTATTTTTGGTTCGGAAAGGGCTGTACTGACATCTCCCAACACTACTAAAGATGTCCTAGGCTTAAGCGGACAATGGTAAGGTGTCACTGGCTGAAAGCCATGAGATAGAAGGACACTTTTTGCTTTTGGGATTGTAGATCGTGGTATAGGAACACTTGCATTGACACATTTCGGCTGGTGTTGTGCACTCAATGCCACCCATGGCGTGAAGAGTACCATGTCCATCAAGTGTTTTAACGTTGTAATCCGCGTTGTCGAAAACATAATGAACGTAAGCTCCGTCATCTATTGAAGGTGAGACATTATCAGCTATCGAAGTCTCATAATTGACCTTCTTGTATGTCGAGCAAACTCCGAGCTACGATAGAATGTCGATAGAAGGTCGAGCAGCAGGGGCGATATGAAAGATCGTGGTCAAAGCTGCAGCAATAATTGCATGAGCTGTATTAGTTGTCTCCTCTTTAAAGCTTTGTCATAGTTAAATGGATATTATATTTATATCTAACCAATTCCAAAGACTAAGCATTGTGGGGTGCAAGAAAGAGAAAAAAACTTATCTTGTATATATTTTGTATATTTATATCAATTATTTTAGATGGGGACGCCACTATGTGCGTATTTTAACCAAATATGAGTGAAGGATGAGTGTAGGATGAGTGGCGCAATCTTGTAGTCTTGTTAGTGACTAAGGCCGACATGTTCCTTAGACACAGATGTTAATTAATAGCCCATATAGCTAATGGCAACTAAGGGACCTACAGTTTAAAGTGGAATCCGAACCACATTTTTTCCTTGTAATTAACGAATTGGTCTAATTATCAGGATAGTACTGCGGATAGTCATAGTACTCACTAGTGCGGACGTTAATCCACACCAGGGAGCATCGCATCCACCTTGCATGCCTATAAATATCCACAATTCGTATAAAAGGGGGGACATAACCGTTTCTATATCATTATTATAGATATTTTTTAGGTTAATATAAATAAAATTTATGCTTAGAACATAATAAACTCTTTAATTGTATATTACCCTCATACATGAGCCCAAAACGTTTAATTTGAGACATAAATAAGGTCTTTAGGACAATTACTTCAAAAGATACAGCAAAAAATCTAAATTTCCAAAATGGCGGCAGTTTTTTCAAAATGGCGGCCGTTCCCCAACTGGGATTTCTTGGGACTTTGTGTGGGCCACTCAGGACATTGTTTTGAACATTTCCACCAATTTTCAGCCTGTTATCAATTTTGTCCGGGTCATAACCTAATTGCACTGGACTATAGTTCGATAAGTTTTTGACAACAATTAAATGTACAGGAAATAAAAATGCATTGTATAGTAAACATTGTTCTCAATATTCATATTTTGATTACTAAATACAATATTTCTAAATTCCATATTTTGTATAAATTGTTAACACAAAGAAGTAATTTACAAGACAGATTTGTTTTAACGTCCGTTGTTGAGAGAAAATTTTACCGAAATGTTAAAGAACTTTTTGGTATAAAATAGGCCCTAACATTATTTTAATTTCCTATGACGCCAACAACCAGGGTGCGTATTTTAAAGTGAAGATAAATAAAGGATTTGTGTTGAACCTGTGTATAGTCAATGGTTGAATGGATGACATGACAGCTTTCTTACTATGATCGCCTGGTTCTTTAGCCAATACCATTTTATCAAGCACAGCTAAGAGATATTTCCCGTTGATTCACTACTTCTCATAAGGTTGAAATGTTATAAATCTAAAAATCCTGTTTGAGTTGGGTTAGGGTATGTTGAGTTAAGAACGAGGTGTATCCTAAACTTCAGATTGTATTTGTTACGTACGATCTTTGACTATTAGTAGTCAATGGTACGACTTGTATAATGAAGGTGAATTAACAGACAAGACCCCAGCTGGACCCATCCAAACTGGATCCAATTACGAAGCATCAGTAAACCTCTGACTTCTCTCAAGATCGGCAAAATAGATTACTAGTCTAGCACTATAACGCCTCAGTAACCCAATTATTAACTTATCTACCCATGACTTTGCCCCAGGCTCGAGGTATTCTATCGAGGGCGCAGTCCGAGGACCTGGGTGATCAGCTGATCTCCGCCCTCCAGGACATCCCGGGGGAGACAGACTGTGTGCAGCTTCTGGTGTGTAGGGCTTCGCCCCTCCTGGACACCATGCGTCGCTCCCTCCGGGCACTGCTGGACGGAGAGTCTGTCCCCGCGGGTCTGTCACCGCTACAGAAGATGCTGTATTACCTACCTACCAGGCATCAGCTGGCAGAGGCGGCTGTCACGTGCCGCCGGAGACTACCCAGCTGCAGTCAGCTGTTCGAGTGACGTCAGTGAAGAAGTGGTAGATTTGTTTAAAAGAACACCGAGTGCTGATAAAGACTATGAAGATAATGAAGTATGTCTTCCAACACTTTCCGATACATATATTGTCATGTTGTCAACATATACTACGTACATTTGTGTGAAAGATGTTACAATGCCTAAACGGAAACTCTCGGTAGACGATCTCATGAAATATTTGATCATAATCGTATAATGGCACTAACTACATGATGGTTGTAGTTCTTTTACAACAACTACACACAAGTTTTCATCCCCCACTAAATATTGTATCAACGTGTCTATTAATGTTACTGTACTACAGTACAAGGTTATACCTACACGGTCTTTGGGTTTTTAATGTTTTATTCACCTACAAAGACTGTATTCTAAAGATAACTTGAATTAAGAACAATTGTGTTAAAAATCCTTTTACGATTAACGTGTTTTTTTAGAATGCGTGTTCCATTGCATTTGCAACGAAAGGTGTATTAAAATTGTCTGTTCTACTTTTCTATTGACATTAATTATAGTAGAGTGTTGCAATAAATAAACGAAAATATTTTATCAACAAACTTTTAACTAAACCTATACACCCAAAAACTATTATTAAAGGCATATTATTTTTGAGGGTTATTATAAAAAAGCAGTCGATGACAGCTTGGATATTAAATTTCTATTTTATTAATTAGTTTAGTGAAAAAATTACAGTGTTTACTTTCGCCATATACTAACCAACACAAATAGACTTCTCATCCAATTAAATATTTTGAAGCCGTATGTCGTGTTTAGTTCATGTCCGGTGACACTCGATTGTCGCTATTTGTATTTGTGCTTTATTATTTAGTTATTTAACTAGGGGAAGAGTTAGTGTTTATGATTACAATATTTTATTTGGTTAAACAAGTTTTTAAATTACTGAAATGAAATAACAAGAAACGAATTGTGAATAAAACACCTCAACAATGCAACGCACACCGGACAGAACTAAAAAAAAAATAAAGATGAGAAATCTTTTAAAGGAGTATGTTTTATTAATGTTTTTGCATTTTTCTGCTTTTTAGCGAATTTCTTATAAAGAATTAGACATTACCATAGGTGGCACGGGAAGACCCGGGACCGATATAATTTTCTTTCATTTTGGAAGTTGAAATCAGCTGTTCTGGCTACCAGGTGGTCTCAGCCAGAAATACAAAAATCAGCTGACTCCATCATGCACTAATCTTGTACTAATTTTCAGTTAAAAATATGCAGCATAGTTTTCCTGACTCAATTTAATGACATGTGTTGTGTTTTCTACCATTTTCTCTTTCAAGTATAACTATAACAAGTGTTTATATAAACGTAGCTTTGTTCATCAATGAAGTTGACATCTCTAGGTAATGATTGGACGGTCTACGTTGTCCATATATACTATACTGACCTACGTGAAGGCATCTGGTGAACGGGACTGTCACAAGCTACAGGTAGTCTTTCCATACACTGCACGGTACTGCACTGTGATTGTATAAAACCATGCTCAACACTCAGGCGAAAAGAATATAATTTTATAGAGGCTAAACCTAATCAAATTAAGGTGCTGTCAGTGCTCTCCTGAAAAGCAAAAGGTCGCAGGATTGATCCTGAGAATAGCCCGTAGCTTATTGGCGGTTCGAAACTAGACCCAGCTGTACTTATATTCGACTTTTAGTATATAGCCGAGGCCTTAGAAACAGCTGTTCTTAGTCAGTAACAATGCTTGAACATCTCACTTAGTTTATTTTTAGCAACTAGGGCTCGCCCAATGGTCGATAAATAGACCTAAAGTATGTATTGTGCATACTTCTCATTTTCACCCCACGCTGTAAATAAAACATGTGATTGGAATTTCTTACATTTGTTTATTCTCTGGTTATATTTTATTGGTATTTCGTCACCAGCATTGCAACACATAAGACCCATGTTAATTTTTGTATTATTTTAATTTTTATTTATAAAAGATATACTATATATTATCTTGCAAACAGTGAATCTATTTAAGTAAATCTATATCTATCTAAACAGTTATCTCATTTTAATGCGACCAACCCTTGAGATGATTTTGAAGAGGTTCCAAATCGTCTAGATGGTTAGAGCCTGGGGTTTGGGTCCAGTAGGCCTTGGATTAAATTCCGCCAATTATCGATGACTGTTATGTGGTAATGCCGTTATCCAGTATTACGGTTCCCAATTGGAGCAGTCGGTACACCTTCATTCAATAAAAAATGCCCTGACATATTTTATTATTGCCTGTTTTTATGTAAAGAGGTTTTTGTTGTTTGATGTTTTGTTGTGATTTTGTGGGCTTTGTTATCTGAAATATTTTTTTTCATTACCTTTGACATTTGACCAAGTTTGTTGTCATATGGATTGGTATTTTGTCGCCTGGAGTTGCTTGCTGACTAGAAGTGGACTGAAGCGGATTGTCGTTGTCTGGTGTTGATTGTTTTTCATTTGATGTTTCCTTTTGTAGAATGTGATCATATGGCTTACTTAGTTTAAGTCCCCGAAAGCAGCAAGCCGTGACGTAATCGTGAAGTTACAGAGAGCTTAACACCTACTGGTAATGTTCTAGGAGGACCATGTCCTCTTCAGCTATAAGAGGGGTTGCAGGGATTATAGGGAAGGGATTGTAGCTGCATACGTGTATGTTACGAGAATGGTGTAGTTACGAATTGAAATCCTTCCATAGCAGCTGGTTAGGGTAAGGTTGGTTACAGTGTTAGCAAAACGGGAGTTCCGATGGAGACTAGGTCAAGTCCCTTCAAACGCACGCACCCCCACAGGTCTCCATCGGCACTCCCGTTTTGCTAACACTGTAGTCGTAGAGTGTGGTTCATGGTTGGCCGGGTGGGTTGTTGGGGTTTGGATAGTTTTTGTGAGTTTATTATTTAATCATGAGGGGGCGGGGTTGCTGAAAATATATTTATAATTGTCTGTGCCAAATGCAGTTCGTAGTTCTGTTGCCTGTTGTCGCCTGATGTTGCTTGTGTTGCCTGCTGTGTCTACGAGCAGGCCGAGGTGAGTGTCCCGTTAGATCAGCCTACATCCGACATTTCGACCTTCAGCAGCCTTCAACTTGAGCTCTGACTGCAACTGCGTCTCTAGTGGGATAGTACCAGCACCCTGTACTGCAATAATTGTACCGAGGAAAAATCTTGATATCTACTAAGATTCGCATATAAGAGTGAGGAGTATGCTTCCCAATGTAATATACTAATATACTAAATTTTGATTGGCTTAAGTTCACACTCTTTTCTTCCATGGTCTTATCAGATCTGTGGCTTGAAGATTAACATAGAAAAAAGATTTTACTAATTGTTAGAAAAAAAGAAGACAAGTATACTATCTTTGACTATTAGTAATTGTTAATTACATAGTATCATTGACTATTGATAATATTCTATTACCAATAGTCAAAGATACTATGTAATGGTGTGTAGGCTACACACATACACACAAACACACCAGCTGTACACGTGAGCACTGAAGCGGTATCTGACGACGAAGTAGAGAAAGTGAATCCGTTTAATTACTGTATCACTAGTCACTACCTCACTGCAGCGATCCTTGAAAGTGGCATGTTGTGCGTAAAAATCTGTACAATCGCGATCCTAGCAGCTTGGAGGCGTTGTCACCCGCGCGCCCTACACAACATTCCTTCGAAATATTGTAGTATGTCCATTTTTATTACAACCATAGCCTGTGTACGATTCGACGGTGTATTACAGATATAAAGTCAGAAAATGTAACAAAGATTTTAGTTTAAAACATTGAAGACCAACTATAGAAACTACTGTTTTGCGGAAAACTCAATTAAACCACTTGGTTTAGTTTAAAATTAACATTTTAAAATGTTAAACTTGTTTACTTCAAGTATTTTTTCGTCCTATTGTAATATATTTAAAACATTATATGTGTTTTAAGGTCCGGAAATTTATAGGGCGTTGATCAGGAAATATATCTTTCTTAATTGAGGATACATATTTAATTGGTTAATTTTTTTTATGACTCTATATATAATTTTCAAATAGAGGGTTAAATTGGAATGTTATAGTTTTAAATTCGTGATATAAAGATAGAAAACGTCCACGTAAAATCTTCCAACATTCATCATCTACAAACATACCTTAAAATCCATACACTGACGATGACGAAGTAAAATAATGTTCATCAATGAAATTCATTGAATCTATTGAATTAACTAAAGATTTTACCTACCGAAGACTGTAAATTTATTCGGCAAAATATGTGGATTACTGTTACATGGTAACTAAACCACTAACTGACTATGATTGAGTTGATGGCACTGGGTCTATGTTGTATACAGATTCTATGTGATTTAGCCATTGACATTAGCATGATCATGTGAACGTTTGCCCACACTGAGCTAAATGTCTTTTATATCCCACACTTCGAATTTAGAAAATAATAAGGCAACGTTTGATGACACCAAATAGTAAACCACAATATGATAAGCTGATAGATAAGCTGTAGTAATAAAGGCTGTACTATTTGGCTGTACTATCCAACTATTTGCGTTTTGAATTGAAAAATATACTTTGTACTCTTTAGGTATTTTTGCACACTACCTAGGTTAAGATGGCCTATGTGTAAAACTATTTTTTGGCAAATATTAAATTTGAGTTGTTGTAGTTATTGTCATTGAAATCACGGACTCGTTAAAAACTAGTTTTAAGATTTTTGACCAGTGACGTTGTTAAGTAGGCCCAGGCCTACGTAAAGTGGACAGTGTTGATTGACGTTTAGTAATTTTGTAAGTTTTCACTTGTTTCTATTGGTTTGTTATCTACAATTTGACTGTTCCAAGCTTGAGTTAAGTTGTCCGTTTTTCGTGCTAATTTTGACATCTTTCTGGTTTCATAAAACCTGTCTTCAGAATACGATTACAGATCTCGATGTTCAGTGAAAAGGGTGGTCAATATATCATTAAACTGCAAATTAGGAATGGTACGAAGCATGATTTTCATAAAATCAAAATCAAAACCACTTAAATAAAGCTTATATTTTGTTTATTCTTATATTTCAAATTTACTTCAAATTTGTTTTCAGTTAAGTTTCAAAACTTCAGCAAGTTAAACCTGAAGAAAATAACAACTAAACATAATGTAAAGTTTTTAATGCTCAATACATTTTAAGGCCTAACAAACTATACTCGTTGTTATCAATGGAAAAAAGGTATGAATACAATCAAACGCAGATATAATGGAAAAGATATATTTATTAAATATTCTCCACACAGTACAATTATAATCAAAGAACTTACCTTAAAA